CTGAATATCTTGGATATTCTTAATTACTTTTTTTAATTCTATTTCTACTTCTGGTATAGACCAGCATTTTCTGTCAAACCGCCAACAAGATATAGTTTTGTGACTATTTTTGCTTGAAATTTAGCTTTCTACTAATAAGTGGTCTGAGTTGCCAAAGTGAGTTTGGGTTTCAAAATTAAGACAGCCATAGTTAGTATCTACGAATATGTAGTCCAATCTAGTGACCATTATTTGGTTGCCCTGTGTATTCTGGTAGAAAGTCAGAAAAGGTTTATCTTTTGAAAAGCTTGCTATATCTATAAAGTCTTTTAGAAGTTCTAGCAGTAAGTCTCTTGAATTGTTATTTTGTATAGCTGCTTGACTAATATGGTTAATTCTAGGATCCAGATTTGTGTTGAAGTCATCTGCTATAATGTTTAGAACGTTTGTGTCCAGTATTAGGGCCTAGTTGTTAAAGAATTAGCATCTGTCTTCATGGCTTGGAGAAGCATAGATGTTTGTAATAGCATATCGGCAATGCTTGTATGTTAGTTTTGTTAAGATTACTCAATCATTATATGAGACTTGTGTTTCAAAAAACCTGATATTTGCTTTTCCAGCCAGAATGGCTATTTTGAAGATCTAAATTGAGTCATATTCCTATTGCTGTGAAAGAAATTTTCTTGTTGTGGTATCTTTAAGATTTGTTTCTTGTAAAAGTATTAAGTCTAATTTGTAGGATTTTAGTAAAGTTAATGTCTTTTGGGCCTTTGTGTTGTTGTTAAGGCTTTTTACATTTAGTGTAGCAATCTTGATCATGGATTAATCAGTATATGTTAAGCCACACTTGTGGTTGTTCTATTAGTTAAATGTGAGGAGAAGAAACTCTTTGAGGGTTGTTCTTCTTGTCTGCTTTGTTAACTCTAGTAAATGGAGAATAGCCTCCTTTCTTGGTCTTGTTTTTATATTTTCCTTTTCTTGAAGTAATTAGAGTGAATTCTTTTTCATTGTTGTTGTTTATTTTCTTGTGAGATATGAAATCTGTTTCTATGTCTGTTGCTAAATCATTATTTGTAGATATATTTGTAGCTTCTGGTTTGTTTTCAGTTGTTTCCATCTCATTTGTTTCTGCTGTTGCTTCTGTAGGATTAAATTCTCCTGTCTGGATTGTCTCTGTCCTAGTTGTCTCTGTTACTGGTTGAAGTATTTCTTGTATTTCTGTAGAGCTTTTATCAGTGCTTTCTAGACTATTTCTGAAACATAAGGGTTTTCTGAACTAAATTGCATTTGTGTTTTGGGTTCATCTTGGCTCTGGCTCTTGGTCTTAAGTTCTCTTTGTTTTTTATACTCTTTCAGTCTTTGTATGAATTTGATTGAGGTTTTAAGATCTTTACAGTCTTTTTTGATATGTCCTGTTTGTTCGCAGTAATAGCATACTTTTGGGGCTTCTTTTCAGTCAGTTGAGACTTTATGGTCACCCACGTGTATGTATCTAGAGAGTCTTTGAGCTAGATCAGGGTCCTTTGTAGTTTCAAAGGTAATGATCTATTGATCTGAGCATACTGATATTTCCTCAAATAAAAGTAGTTTGATCAATGCAATAGTACCTACATTTTGGAATACTGTTTTGACCAATTCATTAATATGTTTCTTTTCTCCCATTGGTATATTTTTTAGTTTTACTAAAAGGAAAGAGCATTTGAGATTTATTGGAATATAACCAAACAAGGTTTGGTTAAAAATGCTTATTCCTTCTAATATATAAAGCTTCTGTTTGTCTTTGTTAACAAAGACAGCTTCTAGAAAGATACATTTTTCTCTCTGTATATGTGTTTTTGCTGCTAATAGGTCTTCTCCTAATTTGGTTGCAAGGGCTAAGATAATATCATTTGTAGAGATATTTACCAGATCTTGAATGTTGAAGATAAGTATATTTTTATTTTTAGAGAGAATTTTTTGTTTAGATGTAGCATTTGTAAACATAGCCTTTCCCTCTTTAGTTTGGAAAAAAGTTCTGACCACTGCTTGTTTCTAGCAGGTTGATTTCCTCTTTAGGTAGATTGTGGTCTACTGGTTTGGAAACTAGATCTATCTTTGAGTTCAAGATCTGTTGTGTTTATATCGTCACGTGTTGAGCTCACGTGTTGTTTATCTGTTTGTTTATTTATATTTGTGAGAGGTTTTTTACGTATTTCGTTTGAGGAAGAGGCTTCAGAGCTTTCTTCTTTTAGTTTATTTTCTGCAGTAGTTTCACTTTCATCTGCCCAGTTTGTCTTGTTGTTTGTATTATTGTCTTGAAAGTTGCATTCTTGTGTATCACTTTTCTCTTGTTGTTTGATGTTGACAATTGATTTTTCTGCATTTATTTTTAACTCTGCTACAAAGTTAAAGGTTTTTTCTTTGAGTTTATTGCTGTCAAGTCTGACTCTTTTGGAAGTTAAGTTGCTTATGTTTGAAAGTACAAGTTTTCGTTTCCTTGGAACAAGAGTTAAAGCCCTTCCAGTTAAATTATAAAAGAACTTTGCTGAGTTTTGCTTAGTAATTTTGTTTTTTTGAATATTTCTGGAAGTGAACCAAAAAGAGTTTTTTAATCTGCTTTATTTCTATTGATACCAGCCCATTTACTCAATTTCACTTTTTTCAAATATAAATAAAAGACAAATTTCGGCTTTTGAATAATCAAATTACAAATATGAGACAATGTGCGCTAAATTCAAATAAACCTCTTTATATTAGTTTATTTCGCAGTTATTAAAAAGTATATTAAAAGGTATCAAGTTCTTATTATCAATAGATAGGCAATAATACTGTTTCTTTAAGACAGTGTCAGAGAATTGGACAAAAAAACTTCAATTAGACAATTGACATATATATAATTAGTTTGAGTATATGCTCAATTTTTCTAAAGTCGATTTAAATAATTAAATAGCATTACCTACCAAACATTGCCTTTAAGAATCTAAAAGAACCATTTTCATTTAGTTTATATAAATAATCTGTCAGAATGTAATCTAATTCAAGTATTTATTTAATAAAATAGTAGCTGTATAACATAGTTATGCGAAAACCAGAAACATAAACAAAGACTTTGTGATTATATATTAGTTGCTTTAGTATATTATAAACTTTTGATTATATATAGCAATGTGATTAATTAGAAAAAAAACAAAGCAATTTTTTATGCATTACTTAGGGAAAATTTAGCATAGTTTGTGAACTTTGGCAAAGTAATTTAAAAATATTCATGCATAGAAATAATCAGATTTTTAATGATATAGGTAGGTTTATTTAATGAATCTTTCTTTTTAATTCTATGTAAAATTATTTCATAGTTTTGGGCAAAATTGTGTTGGTCTTAGCCAAAGTTCTATTGCTGCTGTTGGATTAGTATGATGCGAAAAATCAAAACAAACCAAAAAACTGACATTTTATCTATAAAATCATCTGCGCACTAACAAAAGTTTTCCTTGCGAAATTTGGTACTATTAAAGCTAGCTTAATAGAAAATCTAATCCTAATCTAAAAACAAAAAATTATTTTTTAGATTGATAACGCTAGATCAGTTAGATTCAAATGGTTAGAAAATTTTAAAATGTGAAAATCACAAGATCATAGTATTTGATTAGAATTAAGAAACAAAAAACTAAAATTTAATCATGTACTCTTCTTTTATTACGATTCTAGTACAATAATAAGTAGATGTATGATGCACATAATATAGTATTTATTTAATAAAAATAAACATTTTACTGTAAAGTTCAAGTTTAGTTTTTTCTTATTTAATGCCGAATTTTGATATTTTGCAGTATAAAATATATGAATATCCTAGTGACAAATGATACAATTCTTATTCAATTTAATGTAATTCTAAGTCAAACTAACCCTTAACATTAACTATCAAGGGAATACATACTATTTAACCCTTAATATTAACTATCGAATACATTTTGGTTATATCAACACAGATAGATTAGTAGAGCAACCAAAGTTTAGCAGATCAACTAAACTTTAGGGTCAGAATAGACCCAGAGCTAGGTTGGCATTAAGCAAATATACTAGCCAACTATACTACAGCAAAATTATCATCTGGGCCGCTTTACTTGGTTTGTAGACCACCATTCTTATTAGTAAAATTTATCAATCCTGGCCCATTTTAACCCTAAAGTTTGGTCGATATGTTGAATTTTGGTTGCTCCACTAATCTATTCAACGATCTAGCATTACCAAACTAAAAAATTTTATAGTTAAATTAGAAAGGCTTTGTTAGTACCAATATTTTGCAAAGAAAATTTTTTGTTAGTACATAGAAGATTGTTTCATAGACAAAATATTGAGTTATAGATGATTTTTTAGTTTGTTTTTGATTTTTGTATTTTTTTCTGCATCATGCCTAATCTTAAAATAATCTTAAAATCTGAGAAATTTTTTAGATTGGTAATGTTAGCATACTTCAAAATAAAAAAAATTTGCTCATATTCGGATATTGGTTTAACTAAACTAAATATATATATTAAACTTTCGAATTTAAAGACTTAATTATCTCTAACCAATTTACAATGATGGGCATTGCTATTTGTACCCTATTATCAATATTTATTATCAAATATCAAATATTATACGATTTTATTAAGTTTTTGAATCATAACTATTAAATTTTTTAGTTATTAATTATTTAATTTGGTTAGTATAATATAATTATTATATAATAATTGGTTAAAATATTTTTTTATAGGGGTAGGGTATAAATAGCAAAAATAGGGGTATAAAAAATAATTTTCTATTTTTATAATATAAATATGCCAAATGCTAATATACAAAATGACAATTCAAGAATTTTATAACAAAATTATTAAAGAACAAATAGTAGAAGAATACAATATAAAAATAGATTCTTTTAATACTTTAAAATATATTGAAATAAGTAAATCTCAAAATTTGATTGCGACAAAAACTAGTCTTAACTGCAATATTATTAAGATTTTTTTTTTTTTCGGTGTTAAGGTAAGGTTTTGCCTCGTATCTTTATTAGATGTCAAGTTTTTGCTTTATATGGCTATATATAATCTTAAGAATACTGGCTTAGACAATTTTATCTATGACCTAAACCTACCAGAGTATGCTA